AGAGACGCTTCTACCTGCTGTTCTCTGTTCAGTAATCCACTGCTCAATTTTGTCTTCTAATATTTTGACAGATTTTTCAGCGCAGTGTGAACATACACTGTTCATACATAAGGCGCACCGGAATATAAGGCGCATTGCCGATTTTTTTACAAATATAGGGATTTTCTGTGCGCCTTATAGTCCGAAAAATACGGTATTCATGACACATCGGCTGTTAACTAAAGTACGGGAGGAGAGGGGGAGTAGTGCAACGTTCATCATGGTGAAGTTCCGTTTGGTGCGCCAACCCGATTTTCATGGGTTGCTGATTCGTAAAAGAACAAACACGTCCTGATAACAACTGCAGTTCACTCGCTGCACTTCAGGTTTCTCACCCTCTACCTAATTACTTTCGATCGAATTTGTAGCCGAACGACAGTAAGTAAAACTGCCGCATAAAAGTGAAGCGCTGGTAGTTGCATGGATTGAACTTGTTCTAACGTTCCCTATATTAGATGCGCGATCAAGCAATATGTCAATTTATGTTTTCGTCACTCGTTTTGCTAATTACTTGCATCCCATCAATCTGTTTCGTTAGTGTTGAGGGCTTGGTGATTTGCAGCCATCGGAAAGTTTGAACGGAATGCCACGAAAGAGTTAAGGAATTAGGGAGCTTTTGTTCGCGTTTTGTTCAATGGCAAGATTTGTCTTGTGCATCGTCTGCACAAATATAGCGATATTGAGAATGAGGCCCATCCAACAGCGTAAAACACTACAGTTCGAATATGAAACAGGTACTCCAAAAACAGATAAATTAGCACACAAATAGTTCAGAAAGAAATCGAAACTTATTCCATTTTCCCTCTACAATACATTGCCTAGGATAATGTGAAAACTACCACGCGTGCTCGAGGGCACAACCGTACCTAAAGTGGTGATCAGAGAGGCAACGATGGAGTACAACGCGGAAAACCAAGTCAACCCACTAAAAAATCGCGTACTTTGAAAGTATACCGAGGTACAAGCTAGCGCAAACAGACTGAGTGGGACTGATTAAGTCTTGCTTAGGAGGACCGACTGTGGTAGGTAGTGACTTAATTACATTTTTTTTCTCACGAAAGATCTTGATCTAGCGAACTCATTGGCTTTCTCTATGCGACAACAGAAGCATCAGTGCATCGCTGTGGTGACAGTGATTCGGCTTTCTTACCTGTTGCGGTTCCCAATCAAAATCCCCAATCTTAGTTAGTGAACAATGTCAGCAGTGTCAGGCAAACTGCGAGAAATAACTAATTATTTTATCACAGTGACCGTTGATTCTATCTCGAGGAGAGAGTGAAAAAAGGTCAACGAATAACTACTAATGGTAAAAAGAACCAGACAAAATACCGGTTCGATAGGCGATGTACCAAGGGATATTGCGTATAGTTTTCTGACTACTACTGCAACATACTTCAAAAAGTGCTTGTCCCTTGGCCGGATAGTTTGGATTGATTTCTTCTTTCCATGCAAAGAAAGTATTCTCATCCACGAGTTCCGAATCATAGAGATTCATGAAGCAACGCAGCAAAAACCCTGTGAAGGAAACAGTCGAAGTAGTCACAAAATGAGGATCTACTCGTATATTGCTTATGACATTTTATCATATAGAATACATGCACAATAAGGATAAATGATGAAAGCAATTGATTTATAAGCCATGTAGACAGCAAGAAGTGATTGTATCGGTAATAAAGTCATGAGTAACAGGTGTGGTAATCAAGCTGAATCACAGCTCAAGCGAGCGTTCTGTAATTTGGTCAGCATATGAACGGAAGGATACAATTAACCCATCCAAAATGCATACATGCATACATATGGCGATTAAAACAGGAAACGTGACCTCAATTATGGGACGTTAGCCATTCTTAGGTATCGGAGCACGAAGTGTTGGGTATGGATGAAATTACTCAGTGAGTTTGCACTGCTCTCTAGTGAATAAGAACCGACTAAATATGCGACGCGAACGGAAAAGATTGTTTATCAATAACGATTCCTTGAATATTCACCTTTTGGCATGCCTTTACTCATCCAAAACAACTGTAGGGCGTGTAGGGCATCCAATTGTCGTTCTGGTGAGCCACGAAGCGAATCTGATAAACCGGTGGCCAACAACGCCTTCCAAGCCGTACGTTCTCGTTTCAATAGTTCCGTCGCCGACGTGGTCGAGGGACACTCCGCCAGACCTATCTGATGCACATAGGCATACACAGCAGGTAAGAGAGCATGAATAAACTCAGGGGATTGTCGATCATCCTGAGTAGTATGCTCTTGGATGCAGAGAAGAAAGGCTTGCGCGACAGATTCGTCTCGATTTTGCTGGGCGTCGTTTGCTCCTTCTGAGGCTAACAGCACGGTCAGTCGATGTGACAGGCTTAGACTTGGAACTAAGAATGCGAGATTCCGTTCTTCGAGAATTTCCAGCAGTTTTTCGTTGAGTTGGCTACCTTCTGTAAAATAAATAAGAGCAAAGTTGTTTTATGGGGTTTTCGGGGGGGGGGGACCTTGGTAAACCATAGAAAAACATCATTTTGAAAAATAACGTAAACTACATTTTGAATCATTAGTTGGCAAGTGGATTATGCACATCAACCGCTGAGATCATCCAAGTGAGAGAATCTGCGACTATAGAGGGACCAAACACCGTCTATCCAACTGAGTTATAGACAGGATTTCGGTTGTTTAGCTATGTACCAACCACAGTATACAGTCGCGTGAGCAATAAGGTATATTTTTCTGAGTAGGTGGAGTTTAGTTTTCACGAAAAGCGTATGTCCGTGTCAAAGCTGATTTGATGAGCTACAATCAGCTATTCAAGGGAGCTGGAAACCCAATTTCTAAACCTATGGAGAAAAAGAATCGACAAATATCTACAGGACACCGGTGATCGTGACAGTCACCGGTTGGATTCAGTGGTATTGTTACCGCTTATTCAATGAACTGTGGTATTTACATATCGCCACGCAACCTCAGTAAACCGTCATTTGTCTTAATTTTTCCTTCATGAACACAATATTGACAGTTTGCACTTTCTACTGGTGATCAAAAACATGACGCTCAAGTTTTTTGAAGTTTGGAACGGTTCTTCGGAGCTGCATGGAAATAGGTTAATGCGACACTGTATCAGTGCAACGCAGCTTCAGTGGGTTGGTATACAATAGCATAAGCAGAGGAATTAGTAAATCAGAAAACGATATATTTATCTCCGGCTTGTGGATAAGCATGATGCCAACATCAGAAAACGAAATGGTAGAAATTCTACTGTACCTGGCATCATTTGATTCATGCGTATTCCACTGTCACGAAACCAGCGGATAAAAATCGCACGTCTTTGCTCCATGGTAGAAGATGAGGTGCACTGCACACCCAGAACACCAGAAACCTCTTTTGTGTTCGACTCATTTTGACGGGCGTAGTCAGGGAGCTCATCGGTTAACGAGCGGAGTTGTTGTAGGACAAGCAAGAATAGAGGATGATATTTTCCACCGTGCAGAGGTTCAGCTATGTCTGATAGTAGCAGGTCACCACGCCACATTAGTGAGGCTGATACAGCCGCGAACTTGGATTTGGAAAAAGCTATCGAATTTTGTGGAAGCGACTTTGAAAGTAGATGCACCCAAATTAAGGTAAGCAAGCGACGTATGACGTGTTTTCCCGATTTCGGTGACTTCGTTTCGGTATTATCG